ATATATGGCCAGGAAGCTGTTTTCCCTGTTTTTGTTTTGAGGTTCTAAATGTTGTCCATGGGGTTTTGGATTTTGGCTGTTTCTTGGTCACTCTGCTTCATTTTAGGTGATGATTGAGGTAGATTAAAAATGTATTTTTGCAAAATCTGCAGTCTACACGGAATTCATTGTGTAGTCATTAGAAACTCCCCTGTGTGGTGTCGAGGCTGTTGCTGTTGGTCCATAAATAAAGCACTGGGAGTGGTGCATGTGGAAGAGGAGAAGTTCACGCTCACCATCTGCAAATGAGGCCAGCAGGGCTACAGGAGAGCTTGTCTTGAGGAATCAACAAATAAACCTCTTTTATATATGGACTTAGAATCTGTGGTTGTCTGTCATATATTTGGTATACGTGTGTGTGTGTGTGTGTGTGTGTGTGATACACACATAACTATGCTTGTGTTTTGTTTGGAAGCTTCAGCTCTTTTTGGTGTTTGGATATTTGCAAAGCCTTTTAACACTGAAAGGTTATAAAGAAGCAGTGTATCATTATGTAGGAATGCAAGTATTTTCAGATTCTACATATTTCACATTGAAAGTAATTTACAATGTGTGCATTTATAGAATTAATCTACATAGAAACTTTGTGAAGTCGGGTAATGTAATTGTACAGTGCTGTGACTGTGCATTGGTCAGCAAGAAATTAGGAAAGTCATTGTTGGTAGAGAAAGCCTTTCGGTTAGGAACCACCGTCTATTCATGATTGTAGGAAGCTCAAAGCTCTCTTGGGAAAGCAAGAGTAAATTGAAGAATTAAAGCCTGAAAACAATGAAAGTACCATTGTGGAACTTTGGTCTTCAAGCCAGAGGTTTGTTTTGTTTTGTTTTTTAAAATTTAGGACTCTATACACCTGTTTTATACCAAGGTGAATGCCTAGTAACTAGTTGAGGCAGTAGAACTGCTAAAGTGCTGGGGAAACATAAATCTGCCAGTGTCTTAATTAAAAATTTCAGATATGATCAAACTTTTAAAGAGGAAAAACATAAGAATATTTCTGGTTTGACAGGACAAACTGGTATTCCTGCTTTTTGTGAAAGCAATCAGGAGCTTTAAGCATAGTCTCTTCCCGTCCTTGCAAACAAGTTGACATCTTTAGTTAACCTAACCTAAGAGTAAATATCGTGATTTCTGTATAGTGTAGACCTAATAATAACATTATTTTAGAGGTGGTACAAAACCATTGTTTAGTTCTGTTTTTTTTTTTGTTTGTTTGTTAAGGACAGCTTACTGCCTTTGTTATACACACACACACTTTGTTGCTGTGAAAAATACTCTTGACAAGAACAGCTTAAGGGAGAAAGGTTTATTTTAGCCCAGCCCAGGGAACAATAATCCATCATGGTGAGGAAGTCAAGGCCTCAGGAACCCCAGCAGAAGAGATCGACACAAGCTAGCGCTCAGCTGGCTTTCTTCACTTCTGCAGCCCTGGTCCTAATTACGATGGATCTTTTTGTATCATTATGAGCATAATGGAGACAACCCCCCACAGGCATGTCCACATACCAGTGTAACCCAGAGATCCCATCTCATGTCACAATGAGATTCTCTGACCAGATGGCAGTTAAAACCAACTATAACAGCTGCCAAGGGCAGATATGTGTTCAAGGAACTAACCAGTCTGTGGACAAGTACAGACTCGGAGCCATGAGTGTGTTAGTGTGTCAAGGAAAGACCTGGAGTAACTGAGTTCATGGAGGGAACAAGATCGTACAGAATCGACTCTAGGCCACAGCAGAAAGGACTTATATTTTATTCTAAGGTATTTGGAAGCCATTAGATTAAAAAGAAAAGAAATTGAGCAAGTAATATAAATAATATGTTCCAGCTAAGTGAGACCAAATATAGCATAGTGTATTTTTTTTTTTTTTGGTTTTTTGAGACAGGGTTTCTCTGTGGCTTTGGAGCCTGTCCTGGAACTAGCTCTTGTAGACCAGGATGGCCTCGAACTCACAGAGATCCTCCTGTCTCTGCCTCCCGAGTGCTGGGATTAAAGGCGTGCGCCACCACCGCCCGGCCCAGCATAGTGTATTTTGAATAGTAATATAGTAAGTAATGACAGAAGGAAAAGAACATACATTAATATTGGCTTATTATTTTTATAATTTATTTTAATTGTGTATAGACTCTACGAATGGAGAAGTGGAGCCATATACATGTATATGTATATAGATTTTAATTTGCTTTCTAACAAAGTTTTAATGAATAGTACTGAACCTTGTTCTATATAATTTTAATTTTTTTTTACTTTTCATATTGAAAAACATCAACAAAAACCAACAATCTGGGGCTGGAGCAATGGTTCAGTGGTTCAGAGCATGTATTCCTTTTTGCAAAGGATCCAGAAATGATTTCTAGCACCCCATGGTAGCTCACAGGCATCTCCAGTTCCAGAGGATTGCACACACTCTCTGGCCTCTGGGCATGGGCCTGCACATAGCGCACATACATACAGGCACATAGCACACATACTACATGCACATAGCGCACATACATACATGCACAATGCGCAATACATACATGCACATAGCGCAATACATACATGCACATGGCGCGCATGCATACATGCACATGGCGCGCATGCATACATGCACATGGCGCGCATGCATACATGCACATGGCGCGCATGCATACATGCACATGGCGCAATACATACATGCACATGGCGCACATGTATACATGCACATAGCGCAATGTATACATGTGACATAGTGCACATGTATACATGCACATAGTGTGCATGTATACATGCAAGCAGCACTTATACATATTTAATAAAATAAATCTAAAATATTTAAAAAATAGAATTGCAATCCTGTACATTGACTTAACTGGCTAACACATCACTATTTGAAATTTGAAAGTGACTATAAATTTTGTATTATCTATTTATGACTTTGCCAGGCATAAATACTGAAAAAGTAAATCAGAATCCATTCATTGCCACATTTCCAAAGTATATATGAAAAGTATCCTCCCCCTCCATTTATTTCTTTATACAGTAAGTTCTAATGCTGAAAAGAATTTTGTGAATAAATATTCTTTCCTGACAGCATTGCTTGTCCTTGTCTTCCTGGCATGAAATGTTAACGTATCTAGATTTTGAATAGATTTGTAAAATATCAAGTAAGATTTTAGGTAATATTATCAAGTAAGATTTTAATAATGATCTATGTACTGCCTGGTTTTGTGTGTCAACTTCATGCAAACTAGAGTCATCAGAGACAAAGGGGCCTCAATTGAGGAAATGCTTTCACGAGATCCAGCTGTAGGGCATTTTCCTAATTAGCAATTGATGTGGGAGAGACCAGCCTATGGTAGATTGTGCTCTCTTTGGGCTGGTGGTCCTGGGTTCTGTAAGAAAGTAGGCTGATCAAGCCAATTAGCAGCACTCTTCCATGGCCTCTGCATCCGCTCCTGCCTCCAGGTTCCTGCCCTGTTTGAGTTCCTGTCCTGGCTTCCTTCAGTGATGACAGCAGGGTGGAAGTGTAAACCAAATAAAGCCTTCCCCCTTCTATTGCTCTCTGTCATGGTGTGTTGTTGAACCAATACAATAAGTCGTTTGTAGGGAGTATAGTAGTCTTTAATTGTCACCTGGGAATAAATGAAATGAAATGTCACTTTTACATTTTTAGCAGATTATTAGCCTTTGATGTGATTAATCTTGTAAGAGTACTTATGGGATGAATAAAGGATAATAAACCAAGAAAGTCATTGTGAAGTAATGGGAAAATATTCTTTTGGTTGTATTATTTGAATACTTGTTTGTGTGTTACCTCTGTAACCTTTGGAAAGATAATTTAACTTGTTTATCACATGTCTTATTTTTAAATGAATATATTGATATCTATTATCATAGACTTTTTCATTTTTCTCTTGGGTTAAGGTATCATTATATTGTTCTGGCTGGCCTTGAGCTACTATGTGGCTCAGGCTGGTATCAAATCAGACTCCTGAATGTTGGGATTATAGGAATGGGCTACTATTTCAGAATTAAAATTCACATTTTAAAGTGTTTGCTTAGTACATTCATGGTGTTGTGCAACCATCACCTTTATTATGTATTTTCCCCATTACTCTTTAAAGAAACTATCATTCAGTCAACCTGCCACCTTAGTTCCTTGCAAGCATTGATATACCTTTTTATGTACTTACACAGTTGATCTATTTCCTATAAATGGACTGATATAATATATGATCTTTGGGCACTTGTGGTGATGACTGCAGCTGCTTCTCCTTGCCACCTTCTCTGCTGTGCTGCTAGGGATTGAATCCAGGGTCTTGCATATGCTTGACAAGCACTCTGCCACTGAGCTGCACTTCCCGTCCATATTTGTCTTTTTTTTTTTTTTTATCTTGAGACAGGGTCTTCCATCCTTGATCTCACAATCCTCCTGCCTGCTGAGATTACAGGCATGTTCCATCACACTCATCCCCAACTGTCTTCTTCTATTTTGCATTATATTCTGTAGGCTCATCATATGATGTTATAGGTATCAATACTTTTATTCTTTGTATTGTCAGTTAATAACCTTGTATGTGGATGTGCAGCACTTGTTCACTCAGCTGATAGACATTTCAGTTGTTTCTGGTTTTGATTATTATGAACAATGCCTTTGTGTGTGTTTGTATGCAAATTTTGTGAAGACTTGTGCTTTCTACTATTTTAGATAAATACCAAGGAGTTTTAGGATTGTTGGGTTGTCCTCTAACTTCATGTTTTAACACTTTGAGGACACAACACAAACTGTTTTATAAGGTGTGTCCACCATATGTCCAGTTAAACTTTAAACTATCCAGTTTTAAGTTTTTTATTTTCAAATGTGTTGAATATTAACTGAAATGAGTGGTTTCAGTTGCTATGGGAAACTGCTCTTGAAGTAGTTTGCAAAGTTGACAGCACTTTTTTAAAAGTAAGCTTGAAATTCTTACTGCTAACCCTTTGCTTTTTCTTTTCTTTCCAGTTTTATCTTCAAGACACTAAGAGTAGTAATGGTACTTTTATAAATAGCCAGAGATTGAGTCGAGGCTCGGAGGAAAGTCCACCATGTGAAATTCTTTCTGGTGACATTATCCAGTTTGGGGTAGATGTGACAGAGAATACCCGCAAAGGTATGAGTATGGATCAGTTTTTCTTGTTATTTCTTTTTATAAGTTTTAAAATCTTTATTAGTGATATAAAAGATTACAGGCTTGTAAAATCTATTTAAGTATGATATATGAAACAAAAATTTTAAGTTACCCTCTTCTATTTGCTTTTCTAAAGTTATAAATTATAAAATGTTAATTAGTAGTGAATATTCTTCTTTATTCTATAAAAACATAGGGAACTATTGTGTCAGGAAGCACTTGGTTGTAGTGATTTTACATCCTAGCTAAGATGGATTTATTTATTTGTTTGTTTATTGGGGTTGTTTTTGGAGACAGGGTTTCTCTGTAGTTTTGGAGCTTGCCCTGGAACTAGCTCTTGTACCCAGGCTGGCCTCGAACTCACAGAGATCCGCCTGCCTCTGCCTCCCGAGTGCTGGTGGCTTAGCGTGTGCCACCACCGCCCAGCGCTAAGATGAATTTAAAACATGGGGATGGTGTTTATCATCATCAATAGCAAGATTTACTGAGACTTAGTGAGCAGTCTGGACACAGTTTGTTAATTGACTTAATGATATAATGGAACTCGGTCATAAAAGCAGAAGGAAAATTAGCTAGAGGAGTATAGCATGGGCCATGGGCAAATTTAATCTGAGTCAGCAACTGACTTCTGCTCATACACATATGTATAGTTAAACTCATTATTTTGTATTGCAACTAAAAACACTATAAAAATAATGTAATGAATGTCAAATGTTTTATTTAAATATAAATAATTATGACTTTAAGGTTTTACTATCCTTTTTTCTGCTCTTTTAACCTATTGTTTTCTCAATGCTTTTGCTTCCTCATGGTCAGAGGGTTATAATTGCAAACCTAGGTATCATTTTCCTCATACCAGTATTCCATGCAAAAAGATAATGTGGCGATAAAATGCCCTCTTATCTCCCTTTTCGTGTGGAAAAGTCAATCTTGCAGAATGAGCTCCAAGCTAAGATTTCCTTATGAGTCACTGGCCTCATGATTAGATCACACACTGCAGTTATCAGGGACACCCAATGACTGACAAAAAAAGAGAGCAAGGAGAGCCATGGTTGATATTGACCAATGATGATTTGAGTTGAGTATGTGTTGTTATCCCTTACGAATCAGAGTTCTGTCAGCAAGAAAGAGGAAAGCCATGGGGGCAGGCGGTAGTACTGATTGCAAATACAAGGTTTCCTGTGCTACAGTCTCTGAAATGGCAAGTCTCTAGATAAATAATGTCAACTGCTCTCTACAATCATTTTATTTTACAATTCCGAAGTTGCTTGGCTCTGACTCGTTCATTTGTTTACTCTCTGATTATGAACTCTAACGATTGACTCATAAAATTAAACTGCTTCTGGTACAAACCCAGAGAGGGCAGTTGTACTTTATTAGTTTAATTCAGACAGTGGGACAGTAGATTGGCAAGTTACTCCTTCTGTTTTTCTGTGCATGGTCTGATCTGATGATGTCTTAAATCATTAGACTCTGATATTTTCATGGTACGATGCACTTGGCAGTGTGCTGACTCTCATTTTTATGTGTAGCTCTCTGCGTAAATCTGCACTACCATTAAAATGATAGTCTATTTTTGTTAGATTTTGTTTTATTTCTCTGTAAGTTGTGTTGGTACTTGAATTTGGGTAGGGCCAACCTTGTAGGAATTTTCATTTACAGTTGTAAAGTAAAGATTGAATCTTTTTTTTATTTATTATGTATAATTTATTTATTTATTATGTATACAATATTCTGTCTGTATGCCTAAAGGCCAGAAGAGGGCGCCAGACCTCTTTACAGATGGTTGTGAGCCACCATGTAGTTGCTGGGAATTGAACTCAGGACCTTTGGAAGAGCAGGCAATGCTCTTAACCACCGAGCCATCTCTCCAGCCCCCGTAAAGATTGAATCTTGATGTAAAGTGTTGACTTCTCCTTAGGAGAGAACTCTTGGTGTGATGGCAATGAGAAGAGTAGCACTGGGTGACTCTCTCTGCTGCTCATACTTAGGCTCAAGTGGGTGAAGCCCCACATGTAAATAAATCACAGAGAAGAGACTTTGACTACATTGTATTTCCTTCGAGGAATTTCTACTTATTGATTTAGGGTTCTCAAATAGAATTATTAGGCATTAATTGATAGAAGAATGTGGTTATCGGTTCTAGGAAATGACTTAAGTTAAGCTATGCCTAGCAGAGCCTTCAATATGCTGAAGTATATGCAGTTTTGCAGGGGTTGATTACAGAGTGCAGCTTGCAGCCCTTTCTAGATTTCTTTATACTCTTCCCCATCTATTTCTGAAGAAGATTTAGGGTAATTATCAGTACAACATTATTTCTGCAATATCAGGTTTCTGCAGATTTCTTTGGCTATTTCTCTTTTGGCATTTATTGTTTTCACAAAGTTTATTTAATCCTAACAGGTATGTTAGGAAACATGTATAGATTTTTTAAGTGTTAAACAGTAGTGTGCGTTTAGATATACAGCACTATTGGGCAGCTCTGGGAGAAGAAGTCCCAGGACTTTCAAACTGTTAGAAAGGAGAGGCCACTTGTACTGAGAGACAAGTTCTTTAGTCAGACATTTCCTGGGGCCTAGCATTCAGAAGGCCTTGGATTATATATTCTCCTTTTAAAAATTACATATATGTGTCTGTTTGCCATCTATGTGTGCAGGTGCCTGTGGAAGCCAGAAGATGTAGGACCCTTAGAACTGGAGTTATAGGTGGTTGTGAGCTGCCCTATGAACATGGGTGCTGGGACTAGAGCCCAGGTTCTCGGAAGAGCAGCAAGTGCTCTGATTGCTGAGCCATCTCTCCTGTCCCCATTCTTTACTACTTCTTTCTCTCCTTCCTCTTTTCTTCAGACAGGATCTCTTGTAGTTCTGGCTGGCCTGGAACTTCCTATGTAAATCAGGCTGATCTTGACTTTTTAAGAGACCTACCTGCCTCTGCCTCTTGAGTGCATTTACTTCTTGTCCCCAGCTGTCCTCCTTATTTGTGCTTTCTTTTCTATTCCTAACATTTTTTTGGCCTTTTCTTCTATTTCCCGCTTTCTAATCTTGTTTTGTTTGTTCATATGTGTGTGTATACGTGTGTGTGTGTGTATCCTTCCGTATCCATGCTTACTACAAATTTCCATGTTGGTTTTATTTGTTGCAGCACCTATGAGTCTTTCTTGTTTGTTTCATTGTTGAGATCTTCTTAAGGGCAAGGACCTAGTCATAATCATCATTGTTTTCACCATTATTCTCAGCAATACTGCTTTGTAGCCAGCAATTTCTCAGTGAATATTTATTGAGCAAGTAGGTATATCCAGAGAACCAACACATCTCACGGCCAACAAAAAGAATAAGCCAGTAGTAATACCACTCATGGTGCGCTAAGAGAAATAAGAAATGACTTTTCCAACTAGGTAGAAATAAGACTTGTTGGAGAAACAGCAGTTGCTGAGTCCAGGTCAGTGAATACACACATTGAGCCTGGAAGATTCTTGTCATATTAGTAAAGTTATTTAATATTGCTGGCCTCTTATTAAAAGAACTTCTAGGGCTGGAGAGATGGCTCAGTGGTTAAGAGCACTGACTGCTCTTCCAGAGGACCCGGGTTCAATTCCCAGAACCCACATGGCAGCTCACAGCTGTATGTAACTCCAGTTCCAGAGAATCTGACATCGTTATACCAATGTACGTGAAATAAAGTTAAATAAAGTTTAAAAAAAAAGAACTTCTAGGCAATAATATGAGTGAGTTTTTACTGTGAAAGACAGGCATTTTAACATCAAATTATAACAGCCTTGTATTGAAGTATGTTAAATATGTTCAAGTTGATGAGCTTTCATCAAAACTAAAAGTGAAAATTGTTTTTTATTACTTTTTAAGAACTTAGAAGAAACTTATTTATCATTCTGAAAATAGGTAAATAATGAGAAAGAATAAGAGCACTCATATTTCCTGTCCTGTAGAAGTCTAGCTTGGTTGGCAGGGGAGTGGTTTATTTGTGGAACACTTGTGAGTATGTATACAGTCCTAATTTAATCTCCAGTACTTGGGAAAAACCACAACCACCACAACAAACCTCAGTTATACCCAAGGTTAAAGAAGAAAGTAGTTGAAGAGGCTGAAAAGGTGGTTTAGTGGTTAAGAGCATGTACTGCTCTTAAAGAAAACCAGAGCTTAGTTCCCAGTGCCCACATCAGGTACTCAGTCACAGGTGAGATTTCAGCACCATGATAACTGATACCTTCTTCTGGGCTCCTCGGCACTTGCACTCATGGGTACATACCCACACACAAATAAGCCTATGTACTTACTTAAAACATACAGCCTTGTAGAAAAGGAGTGGAAGGTTGAAAGCTTTTTGATGATTAAACTACAGTTCTCAAGAGAAAGCAGAATGGTAGAATGTTGATTTAATTTTTAGAAGAAAAGCACTCTTGATTCACCTGTCCTTTTTTTTTGATTTTTTTTTATTATTGAGAAAAGGAAGAAAAAAAAAACAAGTTTCCACCTCCTCCCAGCCTCCCATTTCCCTCCCCCTCCTCCCACCCTTCTCCCCCTCCTCTCATCCTTCTCCCCCTCCTCCCACTCCTCTCCCCCTCCCTCTCCAGTCCAAAGAGCAGTCAGGGTTCCCTGCCCTGTGATAAGTCCTAGGTCCTCCCCCCTCTGTCCATATCTAGGAAGGTGAACATCCAAACTGGCTAGGCTCCCACAAAGCCAACACATTGCGTAGGATCAAAACCCTGTGCCATTGTCCTTGGCTTCTCATCAGCCCTCATTGTTCGCCATGTTCAGAGAGTCCAGTTTTAACCCATGCTTTTTCAGTCACAGTCCAGCTGGCCTTGGTGAGCTCCCAGTAGATCAGCTCCACTGTCTCAATGGGTGGGTGCACCCCTCGTGGTCCCGACTTCTTTGCTCATGTTCTCCCTCCTTCTGCTCCTCATTGGGACCTTGGGAGCTCACCTGTCTTTCTCTGCTTTTCTAACTCTTAAAGCCTCAGGATTAGAAACCTTATAAAGTAAAAAACTTAAAGAAGGTTTTTTTTTTTACAGTAAGAAAAGAAATTCATTGTTTATTAATGTGTCTGTGTAAAACTTAAAGCATCTGATGTTTTTCTCAAAAGAAACACCACCAAAAGGGGAGGAAATATTTATTTATTTATTTAGTATACAATATTCTGTCTGTGTGTATGCCTGCAGGCCAGAAGAGGGCACCAGACCCCATTACAGATGGTTGTGAGCCACCATGTGGTTGCTGGGAATTGAACTCTGGACCTTTGGAAGAGCAGGCAATGCTCTTAACCTCTGAGCCATCTCTCCAGCCCTTAAAGAAGGTTTTTTAACAATTATTTTATCTTAAATGGTAAAGAAAATCAATTAATGAAAATCATTTCAGTCTAGAAAAATTAATATCTGAATCAGGTCTTGTTTTTAAAATGTGTCTTGTGTTTTTAATGATTCTATTATTGTCCTTCCTGCTGTCGCCAGTCTTCTTGAGATCCTTCAGGTTCCTGCTAAGTATAGACTAGCACAGGATTAGAAGCAGAGCCAGATATGATCCCCAATGTTTCTCTTTACTGTTCCAGGGCCTCCAAAAGCTTTTAAACCCATCAACCTGAACATGGGTCTCCTAAGGTGCATTTGTGTAAAGAGGCAAAAAGAGGCCGAATACATACCACAAAATAAATAGATCTCAAAACCAAAATAACTGGCCTGTGTCAGTGACAGAGGAAGGAAACCCAGTGGCTGTCAGTGCTTTTGTTACTGTAATCTTTAGTAGCCTGTGTCTGAGGAGGCATTGTAAATAGTTCCTCCAAACATCCTTTCTTGCTTCTATTTGGTCACATCTGTTCTTCATATTAACACCAATGAATTTTGTATGTGGTTAAGAATATCTGTGTCTATTTAATGTGGCAGTGTTCTGATGCTCCCTTTTCTTTCTGGACAAACTACCTAAATTACATGCTTTACTATTTAGTCCTTGAGTTTGAAATATAGTAATAATTTATTTTTGAGAGCAAAATATATATAAAATATTTATAGACTTCTTTAGGACATTATTGTCCTATGTATTGCCTTCCTGATATCAGATTCTCTGTAAGTGTTTTTGAAAGAGGGCGAAGGGGTGAGGCTGGCAGTCAGATAAGCCTGGAAACTGTATCTTCATGCTGTACAAATACCAGTTAAGTTTTTATTTCTGCCCTGGGAATTGAATGTAGGGCTTTGCAAATATACATATATGCAAGGCAATTGCACTACCACTAAGCAATATTTTCAGCTTTTTTTGTCTCCTCACCCCCAAAGAAAGCTCAGAAGTAATACACATAAAAAACATTAAGACTTCTTTTAATCCAGTGTTTCACAAACTCATTAAACCCCCATTTTCCTTTTTGGTCTTTAGAGACAGGGTCTCTGTGTATCCCTGGCTGTCCTGGAACATTCTCTGTAGACCAGGCTGACCTTGAAAGCACAGAAATCTGTCTGCTTCTGCCTCCTGAGTGCTGAGATTAAAGGTGTGCACCATCAATGCCCAGCTTCCAGTTCCTTTTTGGTTAACACTTTTTGACACTGTATTTGGGGAAATTCTACTGTACTGAGTTGATTAATACAAATATTAAAACATGCCTATCACATTGCTTTAAATACTTGCCTGTTGCAAATCCAAAAGATTACTAAGTTTTCTACACACCTGTGTATCTAGTTGACATGAGGTCTTTTCACAGAAGGGTTGGTTGTACTTAATCAGACATGCACTTCTCTGCCTAGGCAGTATTAGCCCTTGGTTCACTTCACTGATTTATGTATCAGTCCATTGCTGAACTGTAATCTAGCTGATGGGCAGAATTCCTGGTGCGCTGTATCACTTGTTGGTTCTGGTGCTGCAGTTTCACTTCAGAATTCATCCACTTATTTTTCTTTTTGTTGTAAATATTTGAAAAGTTTTTTGTTAGCATATTTTAATTAGACATAATTATTTCATTATGACATTTCATACATGTATATGAAATATTTTGGTTAAATTTACCCATTATCTTCTTTTGTCTCTTCCCCTGGTAATACTCTTCCTCTTTTAAAATAGCTGTGCTACTTATACGACTTCCACCACTTTTTTTTTTTTTTGAGAACTTATTAGTCATACTTACAGGAGTTGAAGTCATAAGTGCTTTCAGTGAGACCACCTATTTGAGATGAAATGCCAGGGGCCAAGAAGATCTAGATACTAACTGTGTAATGGCATCACAAATCACTGGATCAGGCTCTAAACACTGGGATCCAACTGCTAGACTGGGGAACAGTTGCTTTTATTTGACCCCTTTGTATCAGAAGTTAAGATCAGAAGAAGGAGGGAAGAATCAAAAGACAGGATGTGGTTTTGAGGGAGGGGCACAGTTGGCAGCAATAGTCTAAGGACTAAGTGAAGTGGTTCTGGGAGAAGGAAGTTGGAGAGGATAAGGCATGAGGTAAGAGGGCTTCTATTATGATAAAACACCATGACCAAAGCAAATTGCTTAGGAAAGGATTATTCCAGCTGACAACATGATTTCATGCAGGGAAATCAGGGCAGGAACACAAGACAGGAAACTGGAGGCAGGAACTGATGTAGAGGCCATGAGGAATTCTGCTTACCTTAAGAAAAAATACCGAGGAGATAAAGATGTCACAGATAGGATGTGTAAAACAGTACACATGTTTTGTGAACAGTAAGATGTTTGGAGATTGCATGTAACCTGCGTGTGTGTAAGAGACTGGTGGCAACAGCTTAGACGATGTGGCTAGAAAGGAAGGAAGAAGCCAAATGGCAATGATGGCTATTCCAGGCAGAACTGAGAAGACCGTCCAGTAGATAGTTCTTTATCTGTGTTAGCTCTTATAAAATATAATCAGTTAATAAAAACCAATATTGACCTGTGCTAAATTCCTTAAATTTAATATACGTTTCCAGATGACAGCCACATTACTTTGTATTACCATCTTGATACTATGGTTGTAATTGTTGAACATATTATACCCCTAAAGCAATAATTATTGTTAAAATAGTTTTATTGAAGTATAAATAAATATATGCCAATTTTTCTTGTAAGACTCAGTAAATTTTGACATATATACAGCTACAGTAAACACTATTATTAAATCATTATACAATGTGTTTTATCTGCCAACATCGGCTTTTAGTCAGTTTAATAAACAAATTTGTTGAGCCATTGATGATGCAGTATTCTAAGAACAGAGAAATCAAAACTATCAATCTTTAGGAAGCATTTTATTTTTCAGTGAAAGACAATGATCTGTATAGTTGTTGTATGTGGGAGATTGTCTCTCAAAATGATCAGTAGGAAGAGGAGTGAGAAGAATCTTATGCATTGAGATTGTTGTGGTTTTATCCAATGGTTTTATCCATATGAAAGCTGTCCTGGAGAGCCTCCCATGTGAGTCCTAGCAACAATACACTGGAAGAGTCAGAGAGACCCTCAGGATGTGTGTGGGGGGGTGATGAACATGTTCTAAACATGTAAAGGATATTAAAGTTTTATGAGCTGTGGTTGGGAGACAGATTGGAGACAGGATAATTAAGGATAAGGACTGCTTTTCAAAGGGAGTAGACTAGCTGTGATGTCAGCAAACTGGGACAAAACTCTTATCCCCTTTTTACTGTTATTATTTCTGCATACTGGACAGGTGACTTTTCATTGTCTGTTAAGGAATTGGAAGTTTTTCTAAGGTAGTAGATACTGTCATTAAACTACTAGATCTATTTACTTTCCTATAAATTATAATTTTTAATAATTAAATACAAGTTTAGATATGAGACCCACCAAGTTTCATATTTTTAAACAATTATTTTATTTGTTTTAACCAGTTACCCATGGGTGTATTGTTTCCACAATAAAACTTTTTCTACCAGATGGTATGGAAGCCCGGCTCCGCTCAGAGTGAGTATAATCTAGTTCTGTGAAGTTTGGATTAATTATCTTAGTTGATAATATTTGTAGTGATGATATCCCATTAATACTACAAGATTACTGTGATATATTAGAAAATTAACATAGTACTTTTTGGCATATTATATACTTCAGTTTTGACTACTTTTTATGTTATTTAAAAACCTAGTAAATAATAATGGATCAGAGGTAAAGGTTGTTTTACAGTGTATATTTGAATAGACAATTTTTTGGGTTTTTTGCAATATTTAGAATATTTTAGTTATTGGAGAATGATAACCGTTTCTTTTTGATATATATTGAATGTAGAGCTTTCCAAACTGTGATTGCCTGTTGTGAAGTTAATGTCAGTGTCATATTCATCCAGAACTTGAAGATGTCAATATAGTTAGTAATTTTTTATAGTGGCTAAAAGAATTTTCCACCAAAGTTGTATTTTTATGTTTTATATGAAGCAATATCACGTCCTGTCATGAAGTCTAAAGTTTAAAATGTAAACTTAAGTACATCATGTGCTTTTTACAGATTATCATTGTGAAGTATGGAAGGTCCTAGGCAGTACTTAAATATTAATGCCTTTTGTTTGTTTGTTTTTATTAAGGGAAAGCATTGAAATATGCTAAATACTTGTTTTTTTTTTGCTTCAAAGGACCGTCCTGTTATTACAGTTTACTTTTTACTAGTGGTTTATTTACATTGTTTTGATTATGCCAAAATACCTAGAGTTTAAGGAAAAGCTGAATAGCGAATAGGAAAGAGAGAAAGAAAAAGCAGAAAGAGCGGGTTCCCTTACTGTAATAGTCTCTAGTGTCAGTCATTAGAATTACATGTTTCTTATACCATAGTTTTTCTCCCTCTTGAGTTTTATGGCTAGGCGATGCAAAGCAGAGATCGTAAAACAGTTGAAATTAAAATACCATTTATTTTAATTACAGTTTATTATTAAAATGTAATTTTCTTTTATTAAAATTACAGTAAAATTCAAGAACTTCAACATAACAAAGTCTTTGGGGTCAAAAATTGAGCTTTCAGTGATAGAATAAGTAAGCAATCCACCAGTGACATACAGCTTCTTAGGGACTAGTGACTTCAGGCGATAGGAGGCCATTTTTGAGAGAGTTAAAAGGTTTGAGCAGTTGCTTAAGTCTTGTGTGTTCTTAGGCTGCAGCTAGTAGAATATGTGCGTCTTCTTTGCATATATGTGTATGTGTTCGTGTACATGTGTGCCAGAGGTCAGAGAACAACCTTGGTGTTGGTTCTTGCTTTCCAGCTTGGTTGTGTTTGTCACCTTGTGCCCTAGGCTAGCTGTCCCCCCAGCTCCCAAGGATTCTTTGGTTTCTACTTCCCAATTTGCTGAAGGAGCGTTGGTGTGGGCTTGCACCACCCTTCCTGACTTCGCACGCATTCTGGGTAGTCAAACTCGAGGCCTCATGATTGCCTTACCTGCTGAGCTATCTCCTTGGCCATATGTAAACATCTTGAAGACTTTTCAGTAAATCCCTTCGTTTCCTCAAACCTTTTCACTATTTCTCGTTTTTCTTCTCCGCTCTCTCTCCTTTTTTTTAGTGACTGTGTGTGAATGTTTGTTATATGCATGTGTTCATTGCCTGCGTGCAGAGCAGAGGACAGCCCCAGGTGTTAATCCTCAGGAGCCCTGGCTCTTGTTTTTAGGCAGGTTCTCATCGGAATAGAACTGCTAACTTAGCAAGGCTGATCAATGAGCCCCCAGAGTCCTGGCTTCACCTGCCAGGTGCTGACTTCACATGCGTGCCGAAGCACCTTACTTTTTACAAGGTTTCTGGGGATTAAACTCAGGTTCTCAAGCTTGCACAGCAGGGAATTTACTACTAAAGAGTTTCCCTGTTCTTAAAGTGCTATTAAATATTAAATTTTGCTTCAAGTTTAGAAGAAAAGTTTAGAACAAACAGTTCTTTAAAGTTGAATATCTGACTAGGCTGGACAGCAGATCGTTAGGGAACGCCTGGCTGCACCTGTTGTGGCTCTTCAGCTCTTTCTTTTCTCATCTGAAACATAAAGATATGTTACTTACCGATCATGAGTTTATGTGGCTTAAATGTAGTTGTGTATTTAAAGAACTTAGCATAGTACCTATGAGATAATGAATCCAATATGAGCATTGGCTGCTGTTATTGTAACCTAATTTTAATTAGCAGTTGAAATGACTGAATACGTCAAGAATGCCAGGTCCACTGTGTAAATAGTGTATAGGGTTTTTAAGATCTTCAATATTTAGTTCTGATTGTTCCTTAGTTTCTCTTCTATTTTTATAATTTCCTAACAACAGAAATAGAAATTGCCTATAACTTTTCAATTCTAACACTAAATAGCAGTTTTGGCCGGGCGGTGGTGGCGCACGCCTTTAATCCCAGCACTCGGGAGGCAGAGGCAGGCGGATCTCTGTGAGTTCGAGACCAGCCTGGTCTACAAGAGCTAGTTCCAGGACAGGCTCCAAAACCACAGAGAAACCCTGTCTCGAAAAACCAAAAAAAAATAAAATAAAATAAAAAAAAAAAAAAAAAAACTAAATAGCAGTTTTTATTCCTTGTTATACTTTTTATATGCACAAGTTTTTCAACAATTCAGACAAAGTACACCTATATCCAATATAGGTTCTGTAAACAAATATATTTGCAGAATGTGTTATTTGGCTTTTTAGCCATTTGTTTGCTAGCAAGATTTCATAAGGACAGAAGAATTTCTTCTTGGGCCACTAAGAAAACCAGATTTTAAAAGTTCTATGTGTTTTAAGGGTTTTTGAGTCAATGTCCTTATGTGTACATATTGGCAGAAGAAAAAGGTATATACAAAAATGGTTACTTCTGGGTGCTAGGGTTGAGTCATTTTTGTTTATTTTTTATTTGTTACACATTTTTCATTCTCAGTATATATTGCCTTCACAATCAAGAAAAATTAACTTACGTTTAAAACATCCATTTTAGTTCTATGGATGGAAAAAGAATAACTTTAAAACGCCTTCAGTAGGCACCAAGTTTGTTAAGGCCTTGAGATAGACTCTGTGGATGCAGGGATGAATTGATCTTAATTCTCAAGACACAAACATGTAATCAAATAAATACTGTAAAGATTTATGCACGCTCACTGAAGTCTGTGCAAGATATTCTGGTGTGCAGAAAGTGGCTGTTGGTACTTAACCTCCACTGTCTATGCCATATCAGGTCAGTTTCTCAGCATTTACAAGCTTGAACTAATTGAGTCTGGGAACTTTACCCAGTCGGCCTTCTAGCTGGTTGTCACTAGATTGCTTTTAAGATGTGAAGTATAGGGGACATAGGCTCTACATCCCTCTACCTGCCTTCAGGACACATACAGTATCTCATAGGGCTTTGTAAAACAGGGACTCTGCCTTCCTTGGGGCACATTTCCCATGGGTGTAGAAGGTTGTAATTGATTGGATACTATTCAAGGCATCGTTTTAAGCTACTTGTCTATATCTTTTAATACTTAAAAGAATGCTGTAGGGCCCACACTATAGGTGCCATTGCTAAATAACAGAGTATGGGCAAGGAATATGAGGCCTATCCTGATTACTTTGCCTTTTAGCTGGTAAGCAGAGCCAGTTTGGTCTAGTTGGTGTATTTTCTGAGCCTCTGTGCTTAACTGCTGCTGCTTTTCTGTTGAGAGTTCTTTATCAGGCCCCAAAGGAAATTAGTGTCAGCTGTTGTTGTGTTTGTTATATTATGTTCAGTTTCACACACACATGTAAACTGGGGTCCCATCCCAAGATGGTAGCTGCCACTGTGTGCACAACTGGAGTTGTTCTTCCCTAGGACACCGGTCCAGACTATAACTAAAGATTGCTACACAGGGTACTTGTTTATTATTTGATAACTTATATGTTACAAATAAGATGCATGATTTAAAAGGTACTTTAATGTGTTGAAATGGTAAAAAAAAAATGAGGGAGTTATCACAGCACTCAGTAAATAGTGGATCCTCAAAAGATGTTTAATACCTTTTGAAAGTGAAATTCTCTTTAAGAAAAATAATGAGTAAAAAGTAGGTTTATGCATGTATTTTTTAAATAATGTCATGTGTTTATGAAGGGGTGATTCACATTCTTTTAATTATGTGAGAGCAAGTGCATGAATGTTATGTCAAGATATTTTGGTGCTCTGGTACCATTTCCTCTGCTTTCAGGAAATGAGATAAATTCTAAATTTTACTTTCCAGTGTCATCCATGCTCCATTACCAAGTCCTGTTGACAAAGTGAGTATTAAAAGATTGTTTTCCAGACTTTGACATTTTATTTCACTGAAGTGTTTTTATTTAATGTTTTACCTTAAAAACTTCTGTTTTATAATAAAGTAAATATGACTATGTAGTTAATATAACCTTCACTGTGTGGAGAATTTGGAATGCATGGTTTCTTTGGAGAAAGCTTTTGTGGCCCAAGTAAACCACTGACCGACCGAGTAGAATGACTGTTCCTAGTTGTGCCAGAGGTAAGTAATGTTAGCTGCTATCTTTTATTCTGAAGTTAACTTTTGTTTAGGAATTTCCCAGATATTTCTTTTTTTTAATTACTGATTTTTATTGAGCTCTACATATTTCTCTGCTCTCCTCCCTGCCTCTCCCCTCCCCCCTTCAGCCCTCCCCCCAAAGTTCCCCATGCTCCCAATTTACTCAGGAGATCTTGTCTTTTTCTACTTTCCATGTAGATTAGATCTATGTATGTCTCTCTTAGGGTCCTCATTGTTGTCTAAGTTCTCTGGGATTGTGGTTTGTAGGCTGGCTTTCTTTGCTTTATGTTTAAAAACCACTTATGAGTGAGTACATGTGATAATTGTCTTTCTGGGCCTGGGTTACCTCACTCAAAATGATATTTTCTAGCTCCATCCATTTGCCTGCAAAATTCAAGTTGCCATTATTTTTTTTCTGCTGTGTAGTACTCCATTGTGTAAATGTACCACATTTTCCTTATCCATTCTTCGGTCAAGGGGCATTTATGTTGTTTCCAGGTTCTGACTATGACAAACAAAGCTGCTATGAACATGGTTGAGCACATGTCCTTGTGGCACAATTGAGCATCCTTTGGATATATACCCAAAAGTGGTATTACTGGGTCTTGAGGAAGGTTGTTTGCTAATTTTCTGAGAAATCGTCACACTGACATCCAAAAGGGTTGTACCAGCTTGCACTCCCACCAGCAATGCAGAAGTGTTCCCTTTTCCCCACAACCTCTCTAGCATAAGTTGTCATCAGTGCTTTTGATCTTGACCATTCTTACAAGTGTTAGATGGAATCTCAGAGTTGTTTTGATTTGCATTTCTCTGATGACTAAGGATGTTGAACATTTCCTTAAGTGTCTTTCAGCCATTTTAGATTCCTGTTGAGAGTTCTCTATTTAGGTCTGTACTCCATTTTTTTTAAATTGGATTATGTGTTCTTTTGGTGACCAATTTCTTACTTTCTTTGTATATTTTGGAAATCAGACCTCTGTCTGATGTGGGGTTAGTGAAGATCTTTTCCCATTCTGTAGGCTGTTGTTTTGTCTTGTTGACTGTCCTTTGCTTTACAGAAGCTTTTCAGTTTCAGGAGGTCCAATTTATTAATTGTTTCTTTCAGTGTCTGTGCTGCTGGGGTTATATTTAGGAAGTGGTCTCCTGTGCCAGTGCGTCCAAGTGTATTTCCCACTTTTTCTTCTATAAGGTTCAGTATGGCTGGCTTTATGTTGAGGTCTTTGATCCATTTGGACTTGAGTTTTGTACATAGTGATAGATATGGATCTATTTTTATTCTTCTACATATTGATATCCAATTATGCCAGCACCACTTGTTAAATATGCTTTCTTTTTTCCATTTGATATTTTTTGTTTCTTTGTCAAAAATCAGATGTTTGAAGATGTGTGGATTGATATCTGGGTCTTCTACTCAGTTCCATTGGTCCTCCTGTCTGTTCTTATGTCAGTTCCAGCCTGTTTTTAGTACTGTAGCTCTGTAGTAGAATTTGAAGTCAGGGATTGTGATGACTCCAGAAGTTCTTTTATTGTACAGGATTGTTTTGGCTATCCTGGGTTTTTTGCTTTTCCATATGAAGTTGAATACCGTTCTTTAGAGGTCTGTGAAGAATTTTGCTGGGCATTGTGTTGAATCTGTAGATTGCTTTTGGTAAGATTGCCTCCCAAATATTTCTATCCAAGAAGTTCACTCAGTTTTTACCCATACATTAAAGCAGCTCTGAAATAAGAACTTGTAGAAATTATTCTTTTAATGCCATTGAACATCGGTTTTGACACCACACAATTAGAAATTGCAGTAGTTGATTGCTAGAGTATTTTCTTTTGTTTAGAAATAATGATGCATTGAAATTAGAGGTGCCATTGCTAAAAATCAGAGTGTAATCAAAGAACAAAAACCAAACCTTTTTTTTACTGTTTGACATGATTGTGAATGTTGGAAATTTGTTCTGCTTTGGGTTTGTTGTTGTTGGTTTTTGTTTGTTTGTTTTTTGTCTTTTTTATTTTATTTTTTAAAAAGAAAACAAACTATCTTTTTTTCATTTTACATACCAATCCTAGTTCCCACTTCCTCCTATCCCCTCCACCTTTCCCCCCACTCCACTCCCCATACACTCCTCAGAAAGAGTAAAGCACATTGCTTTGAGGAAGGACCATGACCCTCGCTATTATATTTAGGCTGAGCAAGGTATCCATCCAAAGAGAATGGGCTCCCCAAAAGCCAGTACACGCAGTAGGGATAAATCCTGGTCCCACTGCCATTGGCCCTGCCCAAGCCATACAACTGTCACCCACATTCAGAGGGCCTGGTTTGGTCCTATGCTGTTTCCTTCCCTGTCCAGCTAGAGTTGATGAGCTCCCATTAGCTTAGGTAAACTGTTTCAGTGGGTGTTCCCATCATCCTCTTGACCTATTTGCTCATATTCTCACTTCTCCCACTCTTCGACTGGACTTTGGAAGCTCAGCCCAGTGCTCCGCTGTAGGTCTCTGCCTCTGTTTTCATCAGTTGCTGGATGAAGGTTCTATGGTGACATTTAAGATAGTCATCAATCTGACTACAGGGCAAGGCCAATTCAGGCACCCTCTCCTCTACTGCTTAGGGTCTCAGCTGGGTTTCACATAGCCCTGAGTGGCGAGGAGCTCACTGTGTAGCCAAAGATGTTTGTTCACGTCTTGATCTTCCTGCTTTCACCTCTTCAGTTCTAGGATCACAGCTATCTTACCACAGCTATCCTTACTACCACAGCTATCCTTACTACCACAGCTATCCTTACTACCACAGCTATCCTACCACGGCTATCTTACCATACCCGCTGGCTTTCGTGTGTGTGTGTGTGTGTGTGATCACTAAAATGTGAGGACAAACAATTTACATTTTTCTTTAGTTTGAGGAACAATGGTTACCTACTTTAAATTGAAGTTGTTTCTTAGGTTATTGTTATAGAAATAATGGTAATTTATCACCAACTTCTGATGCTAAGAACTGTTTTTAAAATAAATAATGATTTTGTTGATTTAGATCTTCATAAGAAAAATGCCATTTTTTAGTCTGAATATTAGAAAACATACTTCTGAGTTTAGTGAGCAGTGATCCGTAACATTATTAATAAATCAGCAGAGCGTGGTAGTGTATACTTATATTTCTAGTGCTTGGGGGCTGGGATAAGAGGATTGCTGAGTTCAAAACCGACCTGGGGTACGTAGTACCAGGTCAGGAAGGGCTTTGTAGCAAGACCCCATTTTAAACAACGAAAAAGGATAAGTATGCACACTTAAAGAACTTATTAGTGTTCAGGAAATGGGTAAATATTCAGCAACTTAATTGTATTTGTTTTCTTTTTTAGTGACATGGTTCTGTATTCACTAGTCTTGAAAAGCCCCTAATTGAAGCAAATTCTGATACTTTGGGGTTCTGAGTTGTTAGGCTGACTTGTAGTTTTTGAACATGATTATTTCTTCTTTTTCTCAAAATTTACATATATTAATAATTTTTTATTAACTCTGGCTATTGGACAAAATGTTAGAATCTTTTTTGCTTATTTAAATTTTTGTGGGTTTTTTTGGTAAGTAGAGTGTAAGATTTCATGCTATCCTCTATCCTGACACATACTTCCAAGTGAATTTTGAAGATTGTCATTTCTAAATGAATTGTGACATATTGATATATTAATGAAGTAATCAGTGATGTATTTTAAGGAAAAAGATGACTGCATTGATTAGGAGTTATTATGAAAAGGCTCAGTACCTCTGTGCTGTAAGTTTGTGATTTGACCTTAAAAGTTTCACTATAATTCTTAATCATCTTGTTTATAAGTCTGATATGATCAGTGTAATGCCATTTATACATTCTAGATAAACAACAGAAATATTTTAAGAAATAATTTACACAATAATTGTGAACTAAGACTAGATCCATTAAACCTTTTATCTGCATATTTAGGAAAATAGACATTTCTTGAAATTGGTTTGTTTTCAATTTTTAAAGTGCATTTTTATTTTGTGTGTATGTTCACCATGCATGTGGAAATAAGAGGATAACTTTCAGGAGTCTCTCCTTTTACCATGTGGGTATGGGGGATTGTTCCATTTAGTGTTACTATTGCTTCCATAAAACACCATGACCAAAAGTAACTCAAGGAGGGAAGGGTTTATTTGGTATACACTTCCACATCACTGTTCATCACTGAAGGAGGAGCTGATGCAGAGGAGTACTGCTTACTGGCTTGCTCCCCATGACCTACCTGCTGTCTTATGGAACCCAGAACCACCAGCCTAGGGATGTCACCACTCATTATGGGCTGGGCTCTCTCCTACTGATTACTAATTGAAAAAATGCTCTACAGGTTTGCCTACAGCCTAATCTTATGGAGGCATTTTCTTAATTGAGGTTCCCTTTCTCATATGACTTAACCTGTGTTAAGTTAACATAAAACTATCCAGCATGGGATCAAACTGAAGTTGTCAGGCTAGATAGGAGGGACCTTTACTTGCTGAGCCATCATGTTGGCTCTTAATAGCTTTTTTAATGTAATGCTTTCTTTGATTGTTGATATTATATTATTTTATTTCTAGGTTGCTGCTAACACCCCAAGTATGTACTCTCAGGAACTATTCCAACTTTCTCAGTATCTACAGGTAAAAGTCAGTCTTGAGAATTCTTAGTCTTTAAAAGTAACTTAGATTTTATTTTGTCAGATTGTAAATACAGAATGAAAATATTGGCTGGAAACAAGCACACAGGAAATATCTTTTAAAGGAAGAGGGGAGGCTTAAAAACAGATCTCAAGAAGAAAAAGGAGTCTGGATTATTGAGTTTAGAAAAGATAAGCTTATGTGCAAGAGAAATTTTTCTTCCAGTGTAAGGAGATTCCAAAGTCCTTCTTTATTCATAGGTGGTTTTAAATAGAATTAAGCTTGTTATATTCCATATTTCGTTCAACTACTTTACCTGTATTGATATAGCTAGAGGAGCGGGCTGCTTGTCATTCCGGCTAGCTTACACCCAAAATACACCCAAAAAAATCACACAGAAATTATATTAATTAAATCACTGCCTGGCCCATTATCTAGCCTCTTTTTGGCTAACTCTTACATCTTGATTTAACCCATTTTTGTTAATCTGTATATTATAACCACGTGGCAGTGGCTTACCAGGGAAGATTTAGCATATCTGATTTTGGCAGTTTCATGGCAGCCCTCCGTCTGTTCTTTTTTTAGCATTTAGTTTTGTCTACTCTGCCCACCTAAGTGCTGCCCTATCAAAAAGCCAAGGCAGTTTCTTTATTTAACCATCGAAAGCAACACATAGACAGAACTTCCTATACTATATTGATTCATTTAATCTATGTAACAGTTTTTACTGCTATGTAAGGAATGTAGATATCTCATTCTTTGTTGTCTGCGGTTTTTGTCCTGCCTAGTTCCCACAGTTGTTAAATCCCAAAGAAATCACACAGAGGTCTACATTAATCATAAACTGATTGGCCCATTAGCTCAGGCTTCTTACTAACTCTTATAACTTACATTAGCCCATCATTCTTATCTGTGTTAGCCACATGGCTCAATACCTTTTCAGCGACGAAGTCACATCTCGCTTCTTCTGTGTCCGGACAGAACTGCAGAGGGAGCTTCCCTCTTCCCAGAATTCTCCTGTTCTCATTGACCCACCTCTACTTCCTGTCTGGTTGTCCCACCTATACTTCTTGCCTGGCTACTGGCCAATCAGCATTTATTTAAAACATAATTGACAGAATATAGACAATTGCCCCACACCACTTCTTGTTTTTCCACGTGGAGTAACTAAGGGGCAGGAAGATCTAAGAATTTACAGTGTCATACGCGTTGTGATTTACCCCTAATCTGAGTTTAGTTTGGCAGTTAGACCCCAGAGTCCTCCCTATTTGAACTGTATTTCTGGATCCAGAGCATCTACTTGGAATGGCCTCCTGGAGCTCTTAATCCTTTATTTAAAAAGACATACAACTCTAAAAGCAAAGAGGTGTTATTTTTTTTTTTCTTCATTTATTTGGGCAGGATTATGGCTCTGGGTCAATAGAGGGATACAATGAGAGAGTATGGTTTAAACGTAACTTTGGTTCAGAAGTATTGATCTTGGTCTTAGTTTTTCTGTTCAATTCTGTGACCTTTGATGGATAGTTTTATTTGTGGATTTGTCTTTAAAACTGTTGACCAGTGGCCCTGTACTTTTTGGTTTTTTAAGGCCATGTGCATCTGTGGAAAAGTACAGAAATAACCAACACATTAATTAGGTCTCATTTTCCACCAAGCACCATGTACTGCCATATAGAAAACGATTGTACACATACGCATATCCATGAAGTAGTTAAGAACATGGGCTTTTCTAGCCAGAATTGACCAAGCTTAACTAGATTTAAACCCTGGTTTTAACATCTCATCTCCTAAGAAAGTTTATTTGTTTGTTTTTTGAGACATGGTTTCTTTGTGTTGTCTTGGCTGCTCTGAGACTTGATTTGTAGACCAGGCTGAACTCATGGAAATCTTCCTGCCTCTGCCTCCATAGTGCTGGGATTAAAGATGTGCTCTACCACCACCCAGCTTCCTAAGAAAGCCTTTGGACCTCATTTTCCTTCTGTGGGCAGTTGATAAGTAGAACCACCTCTCCACATTATGAAGGATATATGAATTAATATAATTAAAACACTTGGAATAGTGCCCACAATGTAAAATATATGATGTGAATGTCGTTGGTCATTTTCATTCAATGAGATGTATTCGTTTTTGTAGGTCTCTCTTGAGAATGTTAAGATTAATTCATATTTCATTTCTGACATGAGAAATAACAGTGTTCATATAAATTAAATAACTGGCCTGGTTCTGTGTAGTGTGGTTGCTGATCATATGAATGAGACTCTTCTCATTCTGTCACATCTTTTCTCTCAGATCTCTGAACATCCATTTATATGTACTAACTCTTTAGAAGGAATTGTCCCACCTCCTCTTTTCCTTCTTGCATAATCTTTACTGAATTGTGAAACTCTAATGTAAACTGTGAAGCCTTAAATAAAAGTTGAAATAGGTGCATTTCATACCTTAGATCTAAAAGACTATTTTAGGAGAGCTACATTTGTTGGAGTTTGGTTCAGAATTAAGAAACTAATGGAAATTAATTTTTTAAGAGATAGAATGACACCATCTAGTGGAGGTAGTATCTAAAGCTTTGGTTGGCTGGTAGCTTTGTTTATAGTAAAACAATTTGTATCTGTTACTTCCTGGATAATGTTTCAGGAGCTTAAAATAAAGTATGGTAAATAGCCATTTTAATGTGGATTACGAGGTGATGGGTTGTTTTTTTTTTTTTTGTCAGATTCCTTAGTCTACATTAAAACAACGGACTTCTGAGTCTACATTAGTCCCTAGTCGTTGTTTATCAAGGATGTGGAGAGCAATAAATTAATGTTTAAGACTTATGCTATAGTTGAAGCATATACTTCTCCTCAAGGTGGCTCAAAGATAGAATGCTTGTAAGTGATTTTTGAGTATTACAGGAATGGCAGAAGATGAAGTTGTGCCAAAGCCACAGCTCAGTGCTGTGGCCATTCACCATCACAGATTGGGCAGGGATGCTGTTAGCAGCTATCACACGTTAACTACAGAGTAGTCTTGCTCTTTGTTCTCTTTCACCATATTCATGTGTTCCGTTGACCCCTTAATTACATCAAGCTAATATTTAGTGAACTCTTACTTTTTGAATATTAATTACCTAATGACATATCAGGGAGAGAATTAGAGTACCTGAAAATGCCATAAGCATTTAAACGTATGTGCATGTATTTACATAACATTTTAGAAAGGAAAGCTAAATGCTGTTATTATTTTAGATGCCATGCTGGAGAGTTGTTATCAAGTATCTTTGATTCCTTAGTTTGAAATACATTTGTTCGAAGATACATTTATGTGTATTTATGAAATATAAGCAGAAACATAAACATTTTTTAAGTTTTTCTAATCTGCATTTTGAAACTTACTCTTTTAGTAAATTACTAATAAAAAGAAAACAGAAATGAGTAACTTGTTTTCCATCTGGGGCAAAGTCTGTTATATCTGTACTTGCAGTCCCGTAGATGGGATAAAATAATGAACTACATCCAGAGTGCAGTCTGAGAATATATTCAAATTATATCGAGTGTTTTTCTTCAGAAGTATCATGTTGCTGACTGAGTTCTTAGCATTTCTTTTGTGATTTATGGTAGGAGGCCTTACATCGGGAACAGATGTTGGAACAGAAGTTAGCCACACTTCAGCGGCTATTAGCCATCACTCAAGAAGCTTCAGATACCAGTTGGCAGGTACTCCGTTTACTTTAGATTCTAGAATCCATTTAAACAGTTTAATAGTTGTTTTAATGTGTTGAATGAATTAAAATTAGATTTTAGGCAAATAAAAGTAATGTTATTACTTTAAAGAACAAATGTTGAAACAGCATTTTGTAGCAGATTTTGATTGATTTTTCAATTTTCAAAATTTTTCAATTTTTCTAGGCAATAGAATCTGTTATACTTGCCTTTTTTGTTACTGCGGGTTTTTATTTGTATCTGATTTTTTTCCAACAGGCTTTAATAGATGAAGATAGACTCTTATCACGGTTAGAAGTTATGGGAAACCAATTGCAGGCATGCTCCAAAGTATGTATTTAATTTCAGGTATATATGAAAGAACACGGTTCTGTAGTTTCATTTTTTCTATCTGAGTGTTTGCTAAGCCCTTTACATAATCCCACAATTGCTTTATATCTTTGTCATGAAAAGAATCCACGCATACCTATAAGTAGGAAGAATTCTGTAATACACGCCTGTGACCAGTTCTAATTACTTTTCTATTGCAGTTGATATTTATTGAAGAGGTTATTTGCCTTTTGAACTGTGATTCAGTCTATCCTGTTATTAATTTTTTTTTTAGTTCTTTCTCTAGGCATAAAAATAATAGATATTTGGTCTGGGTTAGATTTCTTCTTTTTCTTTTTCTTCTTCTTCTTCCTCTTCCTCTTCCTCTTCCTCTTCTTCTTCTTCCTCTTCTTCCTCTTCTTCCTCCTCCTCCTCCTCCTTCTTTTTTTTGCCAACAACATTTCATGGATGGTATTGTTCTTTAGTCAAAGAACATAATGACTAAATGGCTTTCTTTTTAGAATTTTGTCATTGGTGATTCTTCACTATGTTCATTATTTTATGAAAGATCTTTAACATAATGATATAATTCTATCATTCCTTCATTTACTTAGCTGGATTACTTCTTCAAAGATAATTATTCCCTCATGAATTATTTTGTTACCCCAAAGTACATTTTATACAGAAAAAATAGAATGAGACCCACCCCTATTATTTACTAGATAAAAAGAATAAATTGATTTTCCTTTTATCCACCAGTGAATGACAATGAAGTACTTTCTCCCTGCTCAGATTTAAGTATATTTGGTGTGTTTCAGTCTATACTAGTATTTAGCTTTGTTGATTATCAAATTATCCAGAGTTTTGTATGAGTAAACCTCTTAAGGCTGTCTCTCTGGATAAAGCTGACTTGGATAGCATCCTGTGGCTGCACTAGACAGAACGCTCCATGCTCACCTTACACCTTTCTTGTTTGGACCTGGAGTCTTCCTTTTTCCTCAGGATGCTCTTACTCTTTTATCTTAGCCATTGTTCTAAAATGTTTGGTGCTTTTGATAGCCATGATTTTTGTTCACAGATGGAAATATGATGACAGAACATGAGTAATTAATCTTAATATTTGAGAGAAATTATTGACTTTAACTCTTTCCTATTGGAATTAGTATAATTTCTTGCCGTGGACTGACTCTCTTGGAGATTGAAGACCGAGGGAGAACAGGGGTGAAGGCTTAGGAGAACCCAGGATTCGGCGAATGACAGACAGACACAACTCTAATGAGATTTGAATCTGCTGCAACTTTACTAAAATTCAAACATCACTTTTAAGAGATTACAGAAGGAAGTTGGCAGACATAAAAGTTTCCGTAGAAAAATGATTACAGACAATTGATTATTCTCAGCAAGTCTTGTGGTCAGGGCCAGGTGGGCAGAGCTTTTCTTTGAAATTCGTCTCACACCACTAACTAACTGTGCTTTCTCATGGCCCTAAATCATATCTGCCCTCAAGGTAGCCAAGGTAACCCAAACACCATTCTTCAGGGTTCCACCCCCCAGGTTTGCTCCAGTATTGAATGGCTGGCTTCATGTTATCAAGAATATCTTGCCTTTCTTTCCTATCTAAAATGTACCAGGGGTTTCTCATTCTGGCTAGCCTCTCCATAAATGGTAACTCATGCCATTCCATACATTTTCCTTCATAATTTGCCCTTCTTCTACCAAATATCCTATCATGAGCTCTTTCTGTTCTAGGGTATCTGTAAATTCCCCCAGAGAGTGAGCCAGAGTCTTAATCATAACAGTAATGGCCTGAATCAAGGGAGGGGACTCATGCATCAGTTCCTCCGTATTTAAGGAGCCGTTGGAAATGTTTTCTGGTTCCTTGAACAGACTAAGTTTTTGTCAAGAGAAAAATAGAACAGAAGAAAGGATAGCAGAGTCAATACAAGAAACCATTGCCAGGAACAAAGTGAACGAGGTCGTTGAGGCTAATCAGGCACCTCAACTCGAGCAGACTGCCGGGGAACCGCTGGGGGCCAAGCTCCAAGAAGCACGAGCCCCTCATTTTGAGACGGCCACCACCTGAAAGGCATTTTGTCACACAGGCGAGACAGCCGTGGATGTGGCAATTTCTAAGGGCATAATTTACTGATACAACTTTAAAATTCAGATTCAGTTAATAGCAGGCTAACATTTGTTTTGGGGGAGTACCTTAACATATAATTTAGAATGTCATAATGTGCTTATTTCTTTCAAAGCATACGTAGTTTTCAAAGAAAAGTAACTTAGGTGTAATATAATTGTCTTTTGTTGTAGAATCAAACCGAAGATAGTTTACGGAAGGAACTCATAGCACTGCAGGAGGATAAACACAACTATGAGACAACAGCCAAAGAGTCCCTGAGGCGGGTTCTTCAGGAGAAAATCGAAGTGGTCAGAAAACTTTCAGAAGTTGAGGTATTTCATGTTTATTGTTATTGGTTTTAAAGATTTATTTTTAAAATTATGTGTCTATATGTAGTATACGCGTGGGTGTGTTTGTGTGTGTGAGTGAAGTTGTCTGCAGAAGTCCGAGTCTTAGCTCCATTGGACCTATTTTAGGCATATATTATAGGCAGTTTTGAGACATCTGAGATGTATGCTGGGAACTGAACTATGTACCTCTGCTTAGTTTGGACTTTGCTGTTAGAGCAGGCTGGCCCCAAACTCACAGAACTGTACCCACTTTTGTCTCCCTAGTGGTTGAATTGAAGATGTGGACACCGTGTCTATAAATGTGCTGTTTTTTAGTGGAGGATGGTCTCGAGAACTTTACTACTTTACCCGTCCTCCAGACCAGTGGTTCTGTCATCTCAACACTGCGACCCTTTAATACAGTTCCTCATAAAATTATTTTCATTGCTACTTCATAACTGTAATTTTACTACTAGTATGAATCACAATGTAAATAAATTTCTTTGTTTTCCTATGGTCTTAGGTGACCTCTCTCCCAAAGGTCATGACCCAAAAGTTGAGAACCACAGCTCTAGAATAACTTTATATCTTGTGCTTTGCGAGTTTTATGAGGGATATCTTCTAGGTCCTAAGAACAATCAAAATGTGATTTTTGGGACTGAGGGTTTAGCTCAGTGTGCATGTTCTTAGCATGTGTGAGGACCTAGATAGTTTGTATTATGGTCTCATTCTATTGTATGGGCTTTATGTTCATTGTTGCTTGATTAATTGACATACAAGTAAAGTTTCAAGCTATATTGCTGTTTTCACATTAGATGAATTGCTATGTGGTATTAAAGTTACTTAAGGATTGTCGGCTTAGAGGTGATATGATAAAGTATACTTTTAATCTTAGCACTTGGGAATCTGAGGCAGATTATTTCAGGCTAGCCTGGACTCCATAGTGAATTTGAAGTCAGCCTGAGTAACATAGTCTTGTTTCAAAAACAAATAGAAAAGGAGTTAGTGATTTTAAAATATTTTCAAGACTCAAAGTCATACTGGTTGACCCTTTTAAAGTATAAGTAATAGGTAGCTATTTCTGCCCCATTTCCCAACATTAAAAAAAAAAATTTAGTAGTGTTTTAGTATACATGTTCCTGAAATAAACTGAAATTATTTTGTCTTTTAATTCAGTTTTATACAAGGTTAGTCCAAATTTTGATAGTCCAAGCTATACTTTTTATAAGTTGAATTAATGATAAAATTTAAATAAGTATCCATTTATTCTAAATTAATTGTATGTGAACTTGAATTGCAGAGAAGTCTGAGTAATACTGAAGATGAATGTACCCACTTAAAAGAAATGAATGAACGGACTCAGGAAGAATTAAGAGAGTTAGCCAATAAATATAATGGAGCGGTTAATGAAATTAAAGATTTATCTGATAAATTAAAGGTATGTATATTAGTTGCTTTTCTACTGCTGTGTTAAAACACCATACCCAAGACACCTTATAGAAGGAAAGGTTTATTTGGGCTTAAGGTTCCAGAAATTAAGACTCTATCGGCATCATGAAGAGGAAGCATGGCAGCAAGCAGTTATGGTGACTGGAGCTAGAAGCTGAGAGCTCACTGGGACTGGCTTGAGGATTGTGAAACCACAAAGCCTATCTTCTGTGGCATACTTCCTAAAGCCATACTTCCTAAACCTACCCAAACAGCATTACCATCTGGGGACCAAGTATTCAGACATATGAGCCTATGAGGGACATTCTTATTCAAACCATCACATTTTGTTTTTACTCTACCTGAAAGCATGTTAAGCTAATAGTCTCTAAAACAGCTTAAAAGTTTATGTATCACTCACAAATTGTTAATGTAAAATTTGGTAAAACTGAAATGTTGAGATTGACAGTGAAAATAGAAAATGTATTCTGTTTTGTCTACCCTCCATTGCTGTTGAGAATTGAAAGCCTTTAAAACAGACATACTTCCTGTAGATGGAAATAGAGTCAGTGCTTCACAATAGTCTTCTTTCAGTGTTTGCTTCCCCACCACATGGACTAAGATTGGATGGTATAGAAAACAACAGCATCTTCTAATATACACTTGGAACTAGATGAGAATCATCTATTCTCATATGATGCAAATTGGCAAGATGATGCAGAGTGTATGCATTTGTCCTGTGTAATTGGAAATTGTAAAATTTCTGTCCTGCATTCATTCATTCTCAAACACAGAGAGGCTTATAACGATTATAAACTGTTTGGCCTATTAGCTCAGGCTTATTATTAACTAACTCTTACAACTTAAATTAACCCATAATTCTTATCTTGTTAGACACGTGGCTTGGTACCTTTCATCAGTGAGGCATTCTCATCTTGTTTCTTCTGTGTCTGGCTGGTGACTAACTGAGCCTTTCCTCTTCCCAGAATTCTTAGTCTGGTTGTCCTGCCTGTTCTTCCTGCCTGGGTAGTGGTCAGTCAGCATTTTCTTAAACTGATATGAGTTTAATAAATCTTTACAGAGTACAAGAACATTTCCCACAGCAGTCATGCAAGTTTTAAGAGCTAAGTTTGGTCATAGACCCCATGGTGGAAGGACAGAAAGTCCCCAAAGTCGTCCTCTGATCTCCATGTGAGGGCCATGGCACCCATGCCCCAGAACTTAGCCTTGTAATATACACACATGTAAACACAAAGATATGTAGGCAGACACACACATGCAAATAATAATGATAAATTATTAATTATTTTATTATTAATAATAAATTATTTATTGTTTTATTAATAATAATAAATTTTAAAGTGGTAGTCAAGGGCCAAAATGAGATACATGCAGTAATAGTAAATTATAAAAAGAGAGAATCCTAGCTAGAGTAAGAATAAGGTGTCTCATAGGGTAAAGTCATACAAGCCTGTTCTTTCTTGGGAGCCCATATAAAGGTGAAAGAAATTGACACCACAGAATTGTGCTATGATCTCCATGTGCACCTACCCATGCATCATATATGCATATATACATATAGTAATAATAAAGTTTTTGAAAAAGAATTAACAAAATCTAATATAGTCTGATACTTTTTAAAACCTACTCATTTTTAGGGCCTCTCAAAGTTAGGGACCAGTTGTTCAGTGCTGCAACAAACTCAAAGGAAGCTTGGAATAATTTGTTTGAGCCCTGGTCGTCCTTCAGGTGTGCTCTTGATTCTGTTTCAGCTGCTATTCCCTCTGGGACATTTGGAATAAAGAAATCAGACCATAAAATAATGTCTAGTTGGTCCTTCAAAGTCTTGTGACCACATTGCTGAAAATCCATCTTACTGTAATTTATATCTGTTGGTGGGTCATGAAACTAGAAGGAGGTCCAGAGGGAAGGAAGAGATGGTGGGGTTGGAGAGAGGAGCGGGTAATAGAACACACATCATATGAAAGCAGAAAGGGAACTGTTTGGAATGAGGAAAGGAAACAGCCAGAGAGGCTGGAGTCATTGAGAAGGGCAATGTAAATGAGGATAAATGTCTAGACACATGTATGAAGAATACCACAGTAAAACACAGTCCTTTGTGATATTAACTTAAAAATCAATTAAAACAAGAGAAAAGCCGGGCGATTGTGGCGCACGCCTTTAATCCCAGCACTCAGGAGGCAGAGGTAGGCGGATCTCTGTGAGTTCGAGACCAGCCTGGTCTATAGAGCTAGTTCCAGGACAGGCTCCAAAGCCACAGAGAAACCCTATCTCGAAAAACCAAAAAAAAAAAAAAAAAGAGAAAAATGACCTGGCCTCAGTTGAGTGTGTACAAGATAGGTATTTGTCAGACAGGCCAAGCATCACTTATGGTAGTTCTCAGGGAGATCTTGTCAAGAGAAGCGTGTTTAAGGGTTTGCGCCATCATCTTTTTAGCCAAACATAAATAAATTGTAAATTGATATAACATTTTAGAATGTACAAACAAGTTGTAATAATAGTAAATTTGGGTTGTTTATTTCCCATTTAAAAAACATGGAGGATTTAACTTTGACTCCTTATCTGTGTGTTTATCTTTGTGAGTGCTTGTTTGCTCCTAAGTTCCTCCCTTCTCAGTGCCATGTCAGTTTTGACTTACGTCTCTGTCTTTGTTTTAGAAAATCAGCTTTATAAATACATTCTCTAATTCTGAATAGATTCCTTAGAAGTATAAATGAATGAAGTCAGTCCTGGCCTTAGGCTGCTTAAAGCAAGGTGAGGTTTTATGAAATGACTGAAGAGCCCTACTCAACAGGTAGCAGAGGGAAAGCAGGAGGAAATCCAACAGAAGGGACAAGCTGAGAAGAAAGAATTACAGAATAAAATAGATGAAATGGAAGAAAAAGAACAGGAGCTCCAGGCAAAAATAGAAGCTTTGCAAGCCGATAATGATTTCACCAATGAAAGGCTAACAGCTTTACAAGGTAAGCTAGCTGATACAGAAATTGGTTTTATTTGATTTTTGTTCTCTTTGTCTGTGAAATATCTTTTTCTTGGACTGTTTTTTACAGTACGGTTAGAACATCTGCAGGAGAAAACTCTTAAAGAATGCAGCAGCTTAGGTAGGTGTCACCTTCTTTACAGATGTTCTCACTAAGCTTTTGTTTGTTCACATCCTTGACCTCTCACATCGTTTACTTCTCACATTTGATAGTTTACATGTCAAGAACCAAAGGATACTTTCAGAAAATCTCCTTTTAAAATGTTCATGATTGCCACCAGAGGGCACCATTGTGTAGTCCTGCAGACAGTGAGGGTCCTGCCTCTGAGGTGGTCTTAGGATCCTCTTTCTTTTGAGGTTCTTTGGAAGGTCCCCAAGCCTGAATTAGTAAAGAATGGCACTTGAACTCTTCTGAATATAGTGTTCTATACAGAGTCAGTGTGAGTAGGAATAGGAAATGCCATAGTTACATTGAAGCCAGTTTTAAAATTAATACTTTGTTTGATCAGGCAATGATATCCTGTCTTAATCCTAGGGATACAAGTTGATGACTTCTTACCTAAAATAAATGGGAGCACAGAAAAAGGTAGCGTAAAAAACTTTTTTTTGTGATATCATTTTATCATTTAAGCAGGACGGAGAGCTAAATGCCTAATGACTTTTGGTGCTTGGAATAAATACATTTATAACTGTATACTTATCACCGAGTTTTGTCTTTTAAACTCCTGATTCTCTTTATAGACTAAGACACAAGATGTGATCTGTTCTTAGATATCCCTTGTTGTGTTGAAATTGCAATGACTTAGATAAGAAAATGGTTTTCATTGTTGTGGCTTGTTTGATATGGCTCTTCCCTTCCAAAGAGCTCTATTACTGTTCTGGTTCATTGTGCTTAGCTTCCAGGTCTCCATTGCGGTGTGCAAACTTATTTAATGTCCATTGAACATGTGGATTCAAGATAGGGTTCCTCTCTGTATCTTTGGCTTTCTTGAACTCACTTTTTAGATCAGGCTGGCCTCAGACTCACAGCAATCCGCCTGCCTTTTGAGTGCTGGGATTAAAGAGTGTGCCACCATGCCAACGGAAATGACTTTACCCCTCTGTTTTATTGATCAGAGAATGAGATTAGGCATCTTTCTAGTCAGAAGTTTTTTTTGGTAGTTTCTGGTTCTTTCATTCATGTTTTTCTGGGTAGTAGGAGTTCTGCGTTGACAACAGCCTGCAGCCACTGCGTTAGTTTTCCTGTTCTTCCCTTTTCTTCTTTATGCAGTCTTGCTGTGTGCTGTCCTGGAGCTGTCTAAATAAGTCAGGCTGGCAGCGAACTCAGTGCTGTCTGCCGTGAGCCACCATGCACAGCACACGGGACAGCACATAGGACATAGCTTTTAGGTCACTAGCTTTTGTAATTCTGAAGTCTGCAGATCCCCAGTCACTGGCCCCTCACCCCTTTCCTCTAAGATTGGCTGAGTACGAACTCCTTAACTGTGGACAGTTGGAGTAGTAAAGGAATGGAGTTATTTTCAGTGCGTACTGATGTGCTACCTCGTTTTAATATGAAGAAGTTAGTAGAAGATGTCAAGGTCAGAAATAGGATTTGTAGCCAGGTGGTGGTGGTGCACGCCTTTAATCCCAGCACTCTGGAGGCAGAGGCAGGAGGATCGCTGTGAGTTTGGTGCCAGCCTGGTCTACAGAGTGAGTTTCGGGATAGGCTCTAAAGCTACAGAGAAACCTGGTCTTGGAAAAAGGCAAGGAAAAAGAAAAGAAAAAAGAAATAGAATTTGTAACGAAACTGTTTTCCACATATCATGGTATATCTTTATCACTCATAGCAAGAGGTCAAAGTTAAGAAGGAGTTTCTTTTGACGTGTTAAATAAAAAAATGGGTGAACTGAAGATTTAGCTTCAAGAGTTTTCCTATTTTATGCCTTGGATTCAATTCCATCATTATAAAAAGGAAAAAAGAGTTTCTTATAGTAACTGCCAAAGCAAGTCCAGAAAGTCATGTGTATGTGAACTGTACAGTGAAGGTCTAATATTACATATATCATGCATGTTAGGATTCTCAAGAAAAAAATTATCAATTGCTATTTAACTATTCAGTGTATTTTGTGAAATGCCTTAAGGTTTTCAGATTTGAGTTTTTGAGTTTGAGAAATTTTAGAAGTGTAGTTTGTGTTCATTTTAACAAGAATCTTAGTTGCTGTTCATTAAAAGGGTTTAGCAAATTTTTGTTGAGTTAATCTTTGTCTTCTAAGTATTCATTTTCCTTAAATGATTTTATGATTTCCATTATTATTTTGCCTGTCTTTTCCTTTCTGCTTATATACTTTTTAATTAAATCCATATTTTCTTGAATATGTGTCGAGTGTTACATTAATGCAAGCTGTGAACTTTCATTTTTTCAGTTAAGAATCTTTATATACATAAAAAACATCTTTTAACAAAAGTTATCAAATTACTGTGTAAATTTTTTGCCAGAAAATTTAGACCAGTAAACTGCTTTCCTATTAGCAAATAACCAGACTCCTTAATTTAATATTAAAATAAAATATTTTGTATTGTTACGGAGAACTCCTTGCTATAGTTATTTTTCCATTGTTAAAACATTTGGGCCTTTGCTGACAATAAGTTAAGTAGCATAAGAATAACTATAGGACATTTTGACAGTAAGTTTTATGTTTATCTTATGCCACATTTTATTGTGGAATGGACTTTGTAATAAGATAATTTACATTTTCAAACATTGCAAAGTTTATAGCCATGGTTTTTATGAATTAAGTTAACATCACCCTTGAAATAGAGAAAATACTAAGTATAGGTGCAAAAGAAAATGTCAGCAGTGTCTAGAGATATTGTGGTTTATTCTTCTCCCAATGAACTCTTTTTGAAGTGATTTAACTTTTTTACAAGCGGATTTCATACCAGAAGTTTTTGTTTCTTTTTAAAATAAGGATTATTTAAATATATGTTTGAGTATAGAATAGTGCTGTCTAGAAGTAATAGAACAGTGGTAAACTTTAAAATTTTTCTGCTAACTACAATAAAGTTTAAAAAGAAGCAAGTAAAAAATTTTAATACTAAATTTTATTTAACCAACAATATCAAAAATGTTATTTAAACATTTAGTCAGTATTTAAAGATTATTAATGAAACATTTCACATTAATTTTCCTTAGTAGTTATTTGAAATCATGTATTTATTTTATGCCTGCCACATATTTCTATTAGAATGAGCCACATTCGAATGACTTAGTGATATGTACAGTTGCTGGCTACAGTAGCATAACTACAACATGAGTATATAGAAAACATAATCCACAGAAAGCTCATTTGTATAAAAAATTTATTCAAATAGAATAGTTTTCTTTTTTATGTTTCCATGTTTTTTCCTTTTCTTTAACTTTAACCAATATCACAGAGACTAGTTTTCCTTCCAGTAAACATCTGATTTCTTTTGGATTGCAGTGATGATAATATGCTCTGTAGTCAACTTAATTTCTAAGGGCCTGAAATCAAGTAGTAAACTATTAAATGTCATGCTTTATGTGGATGGTGACAGGGTTGTCTTATGCATGTGAAAGGTGCTTTTGTAGATATATATCTACACATTGATAGCAGACTTGAGCTAAGCCAATCTACTAAATATTTTCAGGATTGGGTTCAGATACTAAAAATAGAGTATATAGGGCGCTGGGGAGATGACTCAGTGATTAAGAGCACTTACTGCTCTGCCAGAGGATTCAGGTTTGATTCCTAGAACCCACCTGGCAGGGGATCCAAAATCCTTTTCTGAACTTTTGGGTTCCTGCGTGGAAAACTAGGGTGCTTTTTAGGCTAGTGAGAAACAGTGAGTATTGTGGTTACTGTTGTGTTGCTGTTTAGGGACACCGTGGCCGTGAGGCAGCTCTAGAAGAAAGCACTTAGTTGGGAGTTCACAGTTGCAAAGGATGAGTCTGTGTTGTCACAGTGGGAAGCGTGGCACAGGCATGGGGCTGGAGAAGTAGCAGAGAGCACACATCTGGTCTGCAAGTTACATGCCAAGAGAGCACGAGACAGGCCTGGCTTGGGCTTTTGAAACCCTAAAACTCACCCCCGTGACACACCTCATCCAACAAGGCCACACCCCCTAATCTTTCCCAAACAGTTCCACTGAGGACCAAACATTCAAATATATGACTCTATGGAGGCCATTCTCATTCATACCTAGGGAAATAACTAGGGAAATTCCTGGTTTTTAATAAGAATCACCAGAAATTGGTTAATATTGGTCTGAATTTTGGTTTCAGATAAGTGTCATAAAGTCCTTTATGTATGTTCAAGTTTAGTTCCAAGTAAGTCTTTAAATTTTTTGATAAGCATATACAAAAGGTTATGACATTCTTGTGCATGTTTGCCCTTTCCTCTTTTCCTCTCCACTGAGTCTCCTCCTTTCCCAATGGTTCCTTTTGCTTTCATATCAAATAAATAAGTGGATTAAAGCTAGGTCATACGTAGGTATATTTGTCTTTTTTCCCTCCCATTATCTTTTCTTGTTCTTCCTCATTTTAGGCTACTTCCTCACCCTTCATATTCCCTTCCTACTTTCATATCACATATATACATTTCAATCTAGATTTTACATATGAAAGACACTTTTGCTATTTGTCTTTCTGAGTCTCGCTTATCTTGTTTAACATGCTGATCATCAGTTCTATCCATTCTTTTGCAGATGATCGATAAGTTCATTCTTTATGACTGCATAAAACTAAAACTCTGTCACATATATGAACTATATTTTCCTTACCTATCCAAACACATTTTCACACTTAACATGATATTGTATAGTTTGAGTTTTGAAAGTGTTATTATGGTTTAGAGTTTATATAAAACAACTTTTTCCTTGATATTTTCTAATCTACTGGGGTTTTCTGTTAGCTTGTTGATGAATTCTATTTGTTTAAATTACTTCTTTAATCCAAGATTTTTGTTGCAGTTAATTTTTAATTGTTTTCCACTTGGGGCTGTACTGTACTTGTTATTCATCTCTCTAAAAAGTTGTATTCATCTTTCTCCCTGTTTTTATCTTTCGTGGACCTTTTGGGTACCGTGTAACTAGTTAAAGGAAAATGACAGGTTTGAAAGGTTAAGAAGGCAGTTAATTAAGAGATGTCAGGAGTCACTGTTACAACTGCAAGCATCTGCCTGTTCTATAAGACAAGACAGCGGAGAAGTGGGTTGGTTGCGGTGGAGAGGAGTAAGAGTTCATAGTGAGGGTGGTGCTCATTCCGGGCTTGAGTGCCTTTAGACCTACCTTCCTGGTAGTTACCACATTGGAGCACAGCCTTTTAACACCAGGCCTTCTAGAATCTCTTGTGTAGCTTTGAAGACATGGGTATGTAACTGAAGAATGTTATCTAGATTTATCGGTTAGCCTTTGACCTTTGACTTAGTGAAGAAAAGGGCTGGAGTTCTTTAACTACTGTGTTAAATTCTAATTTTCTCTTTTTTAATTCTACTTTTTACAAAATGGATTATTTCTGATGTAAGCAAAATCATTTATGAAGCTCTTATTTTCAACTGTGTAGAACATGGTAATTGGGGTGGAGATGAACAATGTAATGTAATGGTATGTATGGTATAGATTAAGGTACTTAAGTGGGAAGTCATTTGTGAAAATGAATGTATAAATATATCTGTCTCATTAATTTCTTAGAAATGTAAAGAAATTATTGTATGGTAACCCCTTTCCAACTTTTTTTTTTTTTTTTTAAATAAGGCTCATATCATAGTCCCAGGTCTCTTGAAAGTCACCTTGTAGCCCATGTGGTCTCAGACTCATGACGGTGCTCCTACCTCATCCTCCTGGATATTGGAATCTTAGGCATATGTATCCATGCCTGGCTGATTTTATACATTCTTAAAGTTTAATTAAGACCAACAACTTTGAAGTGAGATTGTTAGAACATGAAATTAATTCAATAATAAAAACACAAAAATCACTTGAGTATTTACAAACCTGTTTTGGAGAAAGGTACATATGAAAAGTGGAAAAAGAAATGTATTTTAAATCAATATGTTATTATTATTAAATATTATATATATTTTAAAGCAATATATTTGTTTTGATTGTTTTTTTTCAGCTCTTTGTATAAAAACTGCACCTTTAAAAGCTAGCCATTCAGAGTAAACTCATGATTATATAAATTACAACTTTCAGTTATTTAATTCCAAAGTATGTGTTAAAATATATTTAGCTTTATTGGTCCTTTTCAGTTACCTATGTTAAAATATTTCATTTTTTAAACCTTTGCTGTTGTTTATTTCAAGACAGCAACAAACCATATCCTTAAAGGTCTTTCTTTCTTTGTTAGAACACTTGCTTTCAGAGAGTGGCGGGGACTGCACTCTCACTCACCAGTTCCTAGAGTGCCAGAGTGAGTACAGAGTATTTCCACATTGATTTCAATGGAGACAGGGGCTAAAATTAAGAAGTCAGAGGAAAAGCAAGGAAATGGATGTGTTTGCTGGAATAGAAGTGTGCAAGTAACTGTTTCCAGGCTTCCGCACACCTATTTGCTTCTTTTGAGAAAAATATTCTTATTGCAGTTCCTTCACATATGGAGTGGAGTATTTCATATTGGTGGTCCCTACACACACAGAGCATGAGAGAGAAACACATAAAACCACACAGGAAGAAATTTCAAACTTGCTAACTTAAAGTCACTCACTCATCAGGGAATAAAACAGACTGTCTGGGGTGTAAAGTACCTAAACTATCTTTCTGAAAGTGTTTATCTTTATATGTGTATTTGTTTGCTCTGCCTGTGTGTATGTCTGTGCACCACAAGTGTGCGGTGCTTTCAGAGGCCAGAGGATGGCTTCAGATCCTCTGAAACTAGAATTACAGAGAGTTGTCAGCTACCAACTGGGTGCTGGGAATCAAAACCAGGTCCTCTGCCAGAGCAGCCAGTGCTCTTAACTGCTGAACCATCTCTCCTGCTCACACCTAAACTTTCTATGGGGGTACTCGATGAAGAAATATTGATAATATGGCTTCTTTATTCAAGTTCTAGTTCTATCACAGATTGAATTTTGAGATTCTTAAATACATTTCTCAGATTAAATGAAGGTATTTAAAGCCAAATAGCCTTTTGGAGCTCTGAGCTCCAAAGATAGAATGAGCTTTTTATTTTAGGGCATGGGTAGCAGTATGTTGTCTCACCCTCTGGTTTGACTGACCACTGTGCCCAAGTCCCATAAGGCTGTCTTTAGGAATATTTAAGGTAGGCTGGCTCTTGGTGATTTAGACCCCTCCTGAGTTCTAAATAAAATGTTGTGAATTGTTTTTATTTGAAATCCCTATAGCACCTTAAATCTCTAATAGAAAGTTATAACGTTCACTTGGTATTGTTAGTGATAGTAAATTTACCATATAGTCCAGGTCTTGTTGATGTGCGTGCTCTTTTCAGTTAGGCAATTACTCTCAGGCATTTTTCCTCTCCTTTCCCTCTAAAGTAAATGGCTTCCCAGGTTTTTTTTTTTTATCCATATCTCATTTTGTAGTTCTCCATGCATATATGTTTGCCCCATTCTTAATTCCAGGACCTAACGAGGTTATAAGGGCCACACCTTGAGTGAGAACCTACAGTTTTAGTGGGTCACAGTTTTAATTCCCAGGAGACATTTAGAAAAATATGTAATTGTGATGGAGGAAGGTCATTGGTTAATAAAGAAACTGCCTTGACCCATTTGATAGGCCAGCCCTTAGGTGGGTGGAGTAGACAGAACAGAATGCTGGGAGGAGGTGAGGCAACCGCCATGCCTCTCCTCTCTGGGTCAGACACGATGAAGCTCCAGCCCAAGAGGGACATATGCTAGAATCTTCCTGGTAAGCCGCCACCTCATGGTGCTACACAGATTATTAGATATGGGTTAGTCAAGATGTGAGAGTTAGCCAAGAAGAGGCTAGATGTAATGGGCCAAACAGTGTTTAAAAGAATACTATTTGTGTGTTGCTATTTCGGAGCATAAGCTAGCCAGGCGGCCGGGAGCCGGTGGCAGGAACGCAGTCCACAGCTTCTTCTACTTAATTGCATTAAATGCTTTTAGAAGAGCTGCTGGTTTTTTTTCCTCTCAGTTGTAGATCTCTAACAAAATTTAAAGCTATTTAATGTAGTTTATTTAATAAATATAACATTTTTCCAATTTTCTTAATTTTGTGAACCAAAGACTTTTTTTTTTAATCTTCTGACCACTGCATCTCACTTATGGCAATTGGCACAGTGAGCTTTTAGGGTTTGTATTTTGAGCCCAACAAATGAGAGGATGATCAAAAGAATGTTTTGTTGAGTTATAATTTTCAGAAGTCCTTATTTAGTTAGTAACAAGTAAAGATCACAGAATTTATTCTAATCATTTTCCTGTTTGAAAAAAAAGGAAATGGAAAACCTTTTTCAATGTCTAATTTATATTACACACTTAATTTAAGGTAATATAAAGACTAACTATACTTTAGTATTTTAAATGAAGAAAATCTGCTTAGAGGGGCTGGAGAGATGGCTCAGGGGTTAAGAACACTGGCTGTTCTTTCAGAAGTCTTGAGTTCAATTTCCAGCAACCACATGGTGGCTCGCAATCTTCTCTAATGAGATCTGGTGCCCTCTCTGGGTGTGCAGGCAGAACACTGGATACATAGTAAATAAATAAATCTTTAAAAGGAGCCGGGCGGTGGTGGCGCACGCCTTTAATCCCAGCACTCGGGAGGCAGAGGCAGGCGGATCTCTGTGAGTTCGAGACCAGCCTGGTCTACAGAGCTAGTTCCAGGAGAGGCTCCAAAGCCACAGAGAAACCCTGTCTCGAAAAAAAAAAAAAAATCAAATAAATCTTTAAAAGGAAAAATGTCTTCCACTCAAAGGGGTGGGAGAGAAAAAGATATGAATAGCTTTCTGACAGCGTCATTAAAGGCGTCATCATTGCTCTCTTACTCTGTCTTTCCACTGTTTTGGACTATGACCCCAACCCAAAAACTAATAAAGGCTTATGTGCTGGAGCAGTTTAATAAGTCTTCAGGTCTGAAGTTCTGGGACATGCATTGTCTGTACAGGTACCTACATACACATATTTAATTAAATATACTTTAATATTGAAAAATCTGCTTAGAGTTTTATTATTATACTTTTGTGGGAAAATGAGCCAACAAGCATTAAGAAAACAGAAGTTAGAGAAGTTACAGCAAATCTCAATGAGAATATTAGCTAAGCAAGTGATGTTTGTGCAGACTGTGCTACTGCATGGGAAAATACTGCACCTGTGGTCCACAGAAGGAAAGTCAGACTGGAACCTGATTCCTGAATACAAAGGCAAAAGTCAGGAGACTAAACAAAACAAAGCACAAGAGCGTCTGTGTATCCTAATCTGTCGAGTGTTTTCTGCAAACAGTGAAAGGTTCAACTCTGACTGGCTGAGAAGGGTATTTAGGACATGGTTCTGAATTCTCTGAATTTTAGGTAGCAACGGTTTGCTTTTGATGATTCCAGATGTTATCTTAAATTTTCCAAATTAATTTGACTCCTAAATATATGGTTACTGGAACAAGGTTAAGTTACCTCTAGCCTTGTTTGTTGTTAGAAGGGTCATTATTTTTTGGCAAGCTGTCATTGTAGATACTAAGTTTAATGAGTATTACCACATGCAAGGAGACACAGATAAACTTATCAAAAAAGTTTTAGAGCAGTTTGGAATTATGTATTGACAGCCATACACAATCGTTTTTGCTGCTTTTAAATGGCTAGGCATCTTAAGTCGATTGGTCTCTCACCAAGTGTGTATTCAGCTACAGCAGGGCTTCAGACTTGTATTTACAGTCTTCTGAAAGCGAATGTTAATGCCTTGTCTTTATTGTTTACTGGTCTTATGGAGCATAAATCAGCGTTTTAAAAACTACAAAGCACATGGTTTGCTTCCATTTGATTCTTCATCTGCATTTAATCCATTGGGGAATATTCTAGCTTACCTGCATGAACTCATAAGAGAGTAGCTTGATTTTGTAGGAAATAAATAAGCAGGAACACATTTCAATGTTTTTCTTGTATGGAAAGCAGACTGTATTTTTGAAAAGTTCTTTTAGATAATAGCTCTTAATCCTAGGGGGGAAAGGGTGGGCTTTAATTAGGTTTAAGTATAACCCGTTGCATAATTCCCAATTTGTAAATATTCTGTATAAAATTACTTTACATAAAGTCTAAAAGCAGCAAGTAACATCTTTAACAAGTTTCATTAAAACTTGTTAAAAGCCTTTTAGCAAGAAATTATCCTGAGGACTTCAGGGTTTTGTAAGGATTGGGTTCCTTCCATCTTCCCTCAAGTAAAGTTCAGTTACTTCAGCAACTTGAAGTTTTCTTTATAAATGTAATAGATGCATTGAAAACTTTCTGTGTTTTGCTAAAGATGCTTTCTGAACCAACAAATTATCCATCAGTTTCATTTGGGTCTATGAACTCTGTCACTTGGTTAACTTGAATGCTGAGTGAGAAGATGAAGGGTGAAGGACACTGAGACCTAAGACCTTCCCTTGAGCGCAGGGAAGACAGTGTTCCCTGGACAAATGCCTGACTCTTTGGTGTCTCTGGCTGCTATATGCCCTCACAAGGGGAGAGATTTTGCTGCTGGGTGCCAGAAAGCTTTCAGAGGGTCTGCTTTGTAGAGACAAATTGTCTATTTTCCTAGACCTATCTCCTTGATTGCATTACCAAGTGCCCTGTAGTGAAATTCATGCCTTTATATTCTTAAATCCATGTCTGTTTCCGCTATCTCCAAGTGTTTTTATCTTACTGTTTGCAAAAAATTTTTCCTGGCCCCATCATTTTGAAATTATAGTCACTGTTTCTGCATGCTTCTTCCATTCCTTCTTTCAGCTATGACCTCACTCTCATTGAAACTGAAGCCTTATTTAGAGGAATACACGGAATCAGTGTTGCTGGGTAACTCAGTGTTTACTGGGCATCATTCTATGAAGTCAGACTTAGGGTTATTTGAGTACATACTCTACTTGAAACAGATTTTTAAAGTTCAGTTCAAATTTTTTCTCTAAACCTGATCAGCTTATTTATGAAAAAGAACAAGTAATTGTAGTTCTGTGCTCAAAGAAGTTTATATCCACATCATAGGAAAATACTGCTTTTTTTTTTCTTCAGAGTTTGATGTTGCTAATATTTGATCTCTTTGTTCTTAGTTTGTCCAGTCTAGGATACATTGAAGGCTGTTGGCAGCTCTTTTAACACTTGAACGGCTGGAAGAGAACAAGTGTAAATTCATTCCAAGGCTATCTTTGCAGAAACAATCCTTCTGTTCTTGAAATTGGTCTGTTTTCACCATTTTGTCATTATGTCCTTGAGTTCTGAATCCTTTTCTCTTTTGCTTGTTCCTTTTCCCTCTG